AAAAGCCGGAAGTGGCGCTGTGGCTCAAGTGGTAGAGCGCTAGCCTTGAGCTGAAGAGCTGAGGGACAGTGCCCAGGTCCAGAGTTCAGACCCCATGACCGGACCAAAAAAGAAAAAAGGCAGTTTTGAGTCACAAATTATAGTGTATGTAGACAAGGTAAATAGTGTGTTTAAATTTAAATGCAAGTTAAAATTGATTCAGGGCATTTTTAGGAGGATAGTAATTTTAGCGAGTTTTTATTTTTATTTTTTTAAAAATCTGGTATTTTGATGCTTTAAAGAAATTCAAGTTCTCATTTTGGAACAAAGCTAGGTGCCTGGCTAGACACATTAGCATGGCAGCTTCAATGTTTTGTTTGTTTATGATGTCTGTCCTGAGGCTTGCACTCACGGCTTGGGCCCTGCCCTCTCTCTGAGCTTCTTTGGGTCATGCTCAAGGTTAGCTCTCTACCACTTAAGCTACAGTTCCACTTCTGGCTTTTTTGGGGGGAGAGAGGAAGAGAAGGAAGAGAAGGTAGATTATTGGAGAGACAGATGAATCCTCTTCTGCCCGGTTGGCTTTGAACCAGGATCCTCAGATGTTAGCCTTCTGAGTAGCTAGAATTATAGGTATGAGCCATGAGCCACCAGCACCTGGCTAACATTTTATTTTCTTTTAATATTAGAATTTTAATATTTCACATAGTTGAGTACTTCTAGAGCAAAATTATGGGGAATTATGCCTTGAATTTGGCATCTGCTATATTAGACTGTATGGTGTTTTTTTTTTTTTTTTTTTGGTATCAGGTAAGGGGTAGGTTTATTCATCATTCCAGCTGGCACCAGGCCATCTTGGTCCTCCACGCGGTGGGGAAAGGCCTGGGAAAGAGAGAGAGCTGGGAAAGAGAGAGCTGGGAAAGTGAGAGAAAAGAGCTAGAAAAGAGAGAAAAAGCTAGAAAAGATCACGTCTGGGCCTGGGCTAGACCTTATCTAGGGTATGGGCTGAGAAAGGTGTACGGTGTTCTTGACTACTTAAATTTATGGAAACTGAACAGAGGTGACAGACTTCCCGCAGTACCTAGGTGAGGGAGGGAGACGCTATTTTACAATGTCTTTATTTGGAAGATCTTATCCTATGGGAAAATGTTTTAATTGGCAGAATATTGGAGGAAGTTCTGCATTACTCCTCTGTATTTCTCGTTTTCTTTGATTCCAGTTTCCACTCGCCTCCAGGACCTTTTCCAGCAGTGGCCCATTTGGTGGTGGTCTTCATCCTTTTTGCTATGCTTTTATAGTGGGTTGTCTGGAGTCGTGGCCTTGGCAGTGATTTCTCAGCCAGGATGCCACCAAGTCCTTTTTGAGAGGGGAAGACATGTTTGAAAAACATGCTAAATATTTTTCTTGACATTCTCTGCTTTAGTTCAATATAGTATCTGCTAAATTCTAGATGGTGTTAGGGAAACAGAACCCAGCGCTTTTAAGGGCAGCCCCAGGCAGTAAGTACATAGCTGCAATATAGGTAAGGTGTACAGAAGGTAGATAGTAAGTGTTTAATTATAGTCATTTAAAAATCTTGGTCATGGCTGGGTATGATGGTGCACACCAGTAATCTCAGTACTTTGGAGGCTGAGGCAGCAGGATTTTGAGTTGTATCCTGTCTCCAAAAAAACCCCAAAAACTCAAAGAACAAAAAAGAACCCTAGGCACTAGTGGCACACACCTATAATCCTAGCAAGTTTGGAGGTGAAGTTGGAAAGATCATACTTTCAGACCAGACTAGGAAGAAAAGTCCTGAGACTCTCTCTCAGTGGACGATATGGGGGCAGTGGAAGGTGACTGTTATCCCAATGATATGAAGCCTACGATAGACAGGCTGAGGCTCAGGCACACCTAGAGAAAGCAAGTGGATCGCAGAGCTGTTCGGGAGGTGATGAGTTGCTTGTGGGAGGAGGTGGGGAAGGAAGGCAGTGTTATGGTGACTCTATGTTAAGATGCAGGGATTTAAGTAGAGCTCAAGGTTCAGAGGTCAGATTTCTTGGTGGGGAATGAGAGAAGGGTCTGGTGGAGGTAGATTCCCAGCCTTACTGAGAGCCACTTTGGAGAATAGAGAGGAGAAGGGGAGTAAAGGGCTCTTGGACGTAGCTGTGGAGGGAATATGGGTGAGGAGTCAGTGCTTGTGATAACTCAAGCTAAGGTGACATCATGTTATGAAAAGTTGGGCTGAGGACAGTCATACCTCTATGTGGTTATTCTCAGCATTCCCGCCTGGTGTGGTGACTGCAGAGCATGGTGCTGTAATCCCTGCAATCCCAGTGCTACCAAGACTAAAGCAGGAGGATCTAAGTTCAAAGCCAGCCTGGATTGCATAGCCAGATCACTTCTCAAAGGTGGGGTGAGGGGAAGTCAGCATTCTTGTCTGGACTCTGTAAGACACTTGGCATTCTCTCTCTTGAATTTTATTACAGTGGGAAGCCTTCAGCCTTCCAGAACTGCAGAATTTCTTGCGCATCTTAGACAAGGAAGAGGACGAGCAGCTGCAGAACCTAAAGAGACGCTACACAGCGTACAGACACAAGCTGGAGGAAGCTCTCGGCGAGGCGTGGAAGCCTGGTTAACATGCCAGGCCTCCCTCCGGAAGGAAGGCTCCGCCCAGGACACATGTACAAAAAAGAGCAGCAAGTGCCTCTCTCCTCAGAGAGCTGGGTCTTTGCCCATGATGCTAGAGTCTTCCCTTCTTCTCTCTAGGTGTAGTTCCCCAAACCTGGCCACTCAGCATCCACTTCTGCATCTCTGGTTGGGGACTGCGAGCTTGCTTGGTTACAGCATGGCGATGTGTGCCTCTTGCGTACAAGCTGTGAACCTGTAGTCACCAGGCATATTCTAGAGTGAGGGAAGCATGAACTCTGGGTTGAGTTTTCCTTATTTTCCTATAGCTATTTTTCATTCTGTGGTGGTGATGTTAAGTGTTAAGGGTGTGCAAATGACTATTGAAAAGCTTAACAAGGAATCTCTCAGAATACTTGTTCGATGTTGAAACTACCTGTCTGTTCTGTTTGCTAACTATCAGAGGAGTCTCTTATGTGAACTGCAAGGCACAGGAATGTAGGAAAGGGAGGGAGGGTTTGACAAAAGAAAGTAAAGAGCAAGTTTGGAAGAAGGCATGAGGAGGTAAGGATGAATGGAAGTGGTATGGCTAAAAGTTGGTGGTAGAGGAAGAAAGTGTATTTGCTTGTAAATGAGTTAAAAATGTTCAGAATTGAGATGTTAACCCCATTTTAGGATTGCTTGATTTTCTGGTAGGTGAAATAAGGAGTCACAGCCAAAGAGCTAGGAGCTCAACCCAAAGGAGGGAAGGACCCATGAACTCTGCAGTTGACTGCAGAGTCAGGTAGGGATCTGAGACTTTGAGTGGAGGTAGACCTGACATGAGCTCTTGTAGCTCCACCTTAGATCCTTGACTCTGCCCTCTTGTAGTGGACGGTCTAATGGGTATAGCATCCGTGTAGGTGGGGCTTGACCATTTGATGACTCCTGTCAAGTTATATAGATTTCTCCCCCCTTCCCCAAGGTTGCCTTCAAAGTTGAAAGGGAGCTTGGGTAAGTGCAGCTCTTTCCCCCCTTGTTAGCTACGAGATTTATTGAATCCAGGACTCAGAGCGAACTTGTGTGACAATCATTCTCTTCCGTTTTATTCCATCTTACCTTTTATCTGGTCTTCCCTTTTTCTTTTTCCGTCCCTCCTCTCCCTGTCGCTCTCTCTTGTTTCCTCTCCTTTTCTGTTAAATCTGGAGTCTGTTCTCATATGCTGATTCAAGGCCCAGTACTCCCACATCCTCAGTTCTAAGGGACTTGACTGAGTAGGAAGCCCCAAGGGAGGAAGAGAGGCCACCTCAGGCATTTGTTACCGACATTATTTTAATGCAAGTGCATGTTCTTCCAACCAAAGAAATGTGTGTGCAATAGAAGCAAGCCTTCCTTAAAACAGATACAGTCACCTCCTTTTCTGCAGCTACTTACAAATCTGAGGATACAGGGCAAGATGTGCTATGGTTTCAGAGGCCTTATAGGCAGTCTACTTTTAGTCTAGATTGTTGTTATTATTGTTATTGTTGTTGTTCTTTATAAATTCCCAAGGAATTGTTAACACATTGGTGACACCTAATGGATTCCTTTTGAAATTCCAAGGTGCTTCAGTTCTTTGCCTCTTACGTGAACTGTGCCTTTTATTGCATTATCTGTTTTACTTCTTGGTGGCTCAGTAGACTCATCAGAGAATGCCCATGCTGTTGGAGACAGGGTCTGGTGTTGGTGGTGCTGGGCCCCATAAACTACCAAAACAATCAGATCTTCCCAAGCTTTTAAGGAAAGTTGGGGGTGGGGTGGGGCTAGAACTAGCTATAAAATATGTATGGCACATCTTGTTTAATTTTGCATGTGACTTCTTTCTAGTGCATTGATGAGGTTTTAGTGACTGTCACCTAACACTGCCTTTATTATCAGGGAATGCCTTCATGATTTTTTACTGGTTTTACTATTCAGCTGATGGCTTGGGTTCGAGTATACCATTGTCAGCCACCTGTTCTTCTAATTACTCAGATGAAGACACTGTTAGAACCTAAAGTAGCAGCTGATGGGTATCTGTGAATTTTTTTTTTTTTTTACTTGAAGTAGATTGTTGAAAATGGGCATCTTCATCTGTAATTACCCAGAACCTCACTCACTGTCATGTGCTCTACAAGTTGCAATTGCAATTGGAAATGTTTCTGTACTCAGATTTGGTCCGTTCATGGTGTTTTGAAGACTGATGGTTCTCTCCTAAGCACTGGTCCCTGTTTTAATGTGTAAAAGAAGAAAAAAAGCCCTGATAGGCCAAGGTTTAAGGCATCATTGTAGAAATCCTAATGCCAAATGCAACTGAGCTTTGCTGTAATACTGTTCTCTCTTCACAGTGTGATATCACAGGGACGGTGTACATGACGGGGGATCTGTCAGGAGAGCATTTTAAGTCGCACAAGTAAAAAGTTATAGTATTTATAATTTTGATGAGTTTATTTTTTATTTTTATAGGGAAGATTTTTTTTTCTCCCCTAACATTGATTCTGGAATGACAAAATTGTTTCCATTATTAAAAATTGAAGTTGTTAGCTGATGTTTGTGTGATTTTATTTGTGGATACTATGCTAGATTTTAAAAAAGGTCACAAGAATATAATCAACTTTTTCCAGGTACACAGAAATGGGTGCCAGAATTCAGCAAATTTTGCAAGATAATTTTGGAAAGGGCATGGTAACATCTTCCAAGTGTCTTTTTCTTTTTTTAAATAAAAGTTAAATGATTTAATTGCATAAAGGAATTTATAATTGCTACATAATGTATTTAATGTACTTTGATTAAATCCACTCTGCCTATGTTGTTCTTTCTTAGCCTCTCCTCCTCTTCCTCTTTTTTTTTTTTTTTTTGTTGGTCAGTGGTAGGACTTGAACTTGGGGCCTGGGCAGTGTCCCTGAGCTCTTTCGCTCAAGGCTATCACTCTATCACTTTTTCTTTTCTTTCCTTTTCGTTTCTTTCTCTTTTTTTTTTTTTTTGCCAGTCCAAGAGCTTGAACTCAGGGCCTGGGCACTGTCGCTGAGCTTTTTTTTGTCGGTCATGGGCTTGAACTCTGGGCTTGGGTGCTGTCCCTATGCTCTTCAGCTCAAGGCGAGCGCTCTACCTCTTGAGCCACAGCGCCACTTCTGGTTTTCTAGTGGTTTATTGGAGATAAGAGTCTCACGGACTTTCCTGTCCAGGCTGGCTTTGAACTGTGATCCTCAGATCTCAGCCTTCTGAGTAGTTAGGATTTCAGGCGTGAGCCACCAGCACCCGGCTTCCCTGAGCTTCTTTTGCTCAAGGCTAGCACTCTGCCAGTTGAGCCACAGCACCACTTTGGGCTTTTTCTCTTTATATGGTACTGAGGCATTCAACCCAGGACTTCATGCATGCTAGCACTCTGCTTCTAAGCCATATTCCCAGCCCTTGCTCTACCACTTTGAGCCACAGGGCTATTTCCTGTTTTCTGTGATTAATTGATGAGAATCTCATGGATTTTCCTAGCTTCAAACCATGATCCTCAGATCTCAGCCTCCTGAGTAGCAAGGATTATAAGCATGAGCCACTGGTACCCAGCTCCCCTTCCTTTTAAAGTTTTTAGTGGGTTATTATGCTGTTTCATATACTCTCATTATGCTGTTTCATACTGTCTCCCTCCATAGCTGCCCTTGCCTGGAAATCACTGACCATTCAACACACCACTTTTGACATACATTTGTATATTTTGGTCAATGTCTTACACACTGGGAATGGAGAGTGGAAACTGTAACCTGGCTGGGTCACATTGCTCTCTAGTATTCTACCTCTGTGCCTGCTGTAGCAAAGGTTCTTGCTACTCTGCTGCCCCCTAGAGGGGTTGTGGAAACAGGCCAGGAGATGAAGGGGGAGCCATTAGGTATGATAGCTGCTAAGATACTGTGATGGCTTTTCTTGTTTTGTCACTATAGGTTGGGAGTTCAGACTGGGTTACAATGCAAGGTTCAGGGCAAATGTTACAGAATTTTGTTACTCGTTGATAGCTTTTTAGTCATTTTATTTTAATTATTCATTTTGGTGTGTGCCGTCTTAGAGTACTACAAAAACCCTCCAACTTGCTAGGGAAATGCTCTACCCTGAGTTATGCTCACAGCAGAAAATATTCTTACGTTGTACCTAACATGGAATTAGTATGATTCTATATTTTTGCTTTTAGTTCATGGCTCCTGGCTTGTAACTGCATTCCCAAGGGCAAGCCATAGAAACCAGAGATTGCTTTTCCCCAAGGCATGTTGTAGAAACTTAACTATCCCTTCCTTACTGGCTTGAAGATCCCCCAAAGAAATTGCTTTGGATTGTGAGTATAGCTCGGGGGTAAGAGTGCTTGCCTAACATGTGCAGGGTATTTGGTTCACCTTTAGCACCTAAAGTAGCAGCTTTTTATGTGTGATCCATATCATAAGACTCCCATTCCAGAAGTGGTTCTTCCAATACCTGGAAGAAAGGAATGCGGCTCTGAGAAGCCAACAAGAATCTGGACAGGCTTTGCTGGGTTTCTGCATTCAGTCAAACTCTTTTTGTCTCTTTTTATCATATTTCCACACTGCTCTCCCATCATGCTTATGAAATACCACAAAGCATCAGGTTAGAGAGCTCTCAGATATTTGTACATGCAGAAGTTCCTGGAGCCTGATGTATCTCACCTTGTGCATCTCTATTTGTGTCCTTTTTTAAATATACTTCATGTCAGACCATTAAACATAAACAGGAGTTGCTCCAAGTCCTGTGAGATATTATGTAATCAGCCAGTTGAATCTAAGGAAGTGGGTCATGGGAATCCTAATTTATTATGGTGAATCAGAGGTTCACCTGTTCACAGGTGAGTCAGCTTGTGCTTTCATTTAGCATCTGGTATACAGGACACGTGTTTGGGGACTGAGTCCTCAATGTATGAATTAGATGAAAGCCTTGCTTTTTTGCTCAGGACAAAGCCTCATACCTTTTGGGGGGGGGATGGAGGAAGTGCTCTAGTTGCGGTTGATTTTTTTTCTTTAGTGTCATCCAGTTGTGAAATCCATACTATCACACTGCATTGAGATGCTGCCAGATGGGCCTAATGAGGGTGTTTTGTTTTCCTATGGGGGGCAGGGGTACATGACTCTACTAGCCGGTAGGGACTAGCCATGTGCCAGGCATTCATATAAAATACTAAGTTACTCCTAGTGAGATAGCTAATGTTACTGTCTCCATCTTACAGGGAGGAAATGCAGTGAGTGGCAGCAACAGCGTTGCCAGCGTCTCCATCTGTTTATGTCCTGCTATTTGTTTTTTGGTTTTTTTTCTTTTGTTTTGTTTTGCAACCAGGGTGATTGAATATATGCACAGTGAGTAAGTCTTATATAAAGTTAAGCTCACGCTGGGAGATGGGAAAAAGCAATGGTTAGGATCTATTGGGAGAGATTCAAGACAGAATGGGTTGCCACATTCTTTTCAGATGGACAGTCTTCAGAACTACAGATGTAGGGCTGGGAAGGTGGCTCAGTGGTAGAGCGCTTGCCTCGCATGCATGAGACCCTGGTTTCGATTCCTCAGCACCACATAAGCAAAAAGAAAAAAGCCGGAAGTGGCGCTGTGGCTCAAGTGGTAGAGTGCTAGCCTTGAGCTGAAGAGCTGAGGGACAGTGCCCAGGCCCAGAGTTCAGGCACCACGACTGGACCAAAAAAAAGAACTACAGAGGTATTGAGGGTTTTTTCATTTTGATAAATACTTTATATGATCCAAGGCACATAGGCATTGCACCTTTGTGTTTCTCCTCTAAGGGTATTCTGCTTTGGTTTCACTGTATGTCAATGCTCAGAGACCTGTATAATTTGTCATGTTCTGGTGTATTTTAGATGTAGCTTGCATATATAAAACATGTGCCATTTATCTCTGAGCTTGGCTTACCTCACTTAACATGATTTGGGCTGGGTCTATCCATTTTCCTGCAAATGACATAATATTACTCTTTCTAATGGCTGTGTAAAATTCCATTGCGTATAGATACCACATTTTTTATTAATTCACTCATCTATTGTAGGGCATCTGGTCTTAGGTATTGAGTTTTGAAAGATTTTTTTTTTCTTTTCCTGCACCAGAACTGGGCCCTAAGAATCAGTCCTTTTGTTTTGTTTTGATTTTATGGTGGTACTGGGCTGTGGTGATACTGAATTCAGGGCTTCATGCTCTTGGCTTTTTGCAACTCTACTACTAGCTACTGCTGCTCTTTTAATAAATGGTCTATAATGTGTGTGTGTGTGTGTGTGTTAACAGCTGCAAAGCCTGGAATCCTACAAGCTAAAGGGATACAGATTGTACACAAAAACCTGTAAAGAGGCTTCAAGGCCCAGAAAGAACATTTTTTAATTTGAACTCAAGGGACTTGGCACTTACTTGGCTGGTGCCAAGTGGCTACCAGTTTTCGTGGGAGATGGGAGTTAGTAATTAATCAGCAAAAACCAAGAGGATGAACTTAAGTATCCTGGATTTTACCCTTATCATTACAAGGAAAAAGAGACAAAATATCTTTATGTGATCTGTACCCACATGTGTATGACTCCTATAAATAGAATCAAGAATAGAAATTGTAGAGAGAGCCATAGCATTTGTTAGAAAAGATGATATGTCACAAATCAATTATTTTAGCTTCCACTTTAAAAAAGAAGGAAAAGATAACCAACACACACACACACATACACACACACACACACACACACACACACACACACACACACACAACCCTAGAAAAAGTAAAGCATTCAGAAGAAAGATGATAAAGATCAGGGAGGAGGCTGATAAAATTAAAAAATTAAAAAGCCAGCCCTGGGAGGAAAGACTCATCTCCAGTAAGCCACTAGAAAAGCAGAAGTGGCATTGTGGCTCAAGTAGTAGAGTGCTCGCCTTGAGCTGAAGAGTACAGAGACGGTGCCCAAGCCCCACAACCAACCAAAAAAAAAAAAAAATCAATGAAATTAAAGGTTTCTTGAGAAGA